AGCCTTATCACGCGAAACAAAACGCTTCACATTCTCTCGAATTTCACCCACTGTATGAACATACTCAAATCGGCAAAGCAAATGGGTTATCCAGGATGCCTTTCCCAGGATTCTAACATTCTCTCTCCCTCTCTTTTTCCAAGAAAAATGATGCGTGTTATAAGTATTTAGTCACTGCCGATATTTAAAAGGGAGAACAAAAGCAAATTTGCGATTTTTTTTAAGAGTCGGCATAGCTTCAAATATTTGCTTTAGACTCTATTGAAAAGTAGCTTTCTGCACCCCCAGCCTCGATAAAAATAATATTTGAAGTTTGGGGATGCAAAGTATAGCAGTCTATGTTGAAATAACTGTGAAATGCCAAGGGAAATAGTTATTATATCAGTTCATTAAACGGTTGCAACTGGCCAGAATGGATTCACATTTCTAGCAATAAATATAACACATTTAATTCAAATTCCGAAGGAAGGAATAGGGAAGGGCAAAATGAGATAGTTAAACTGGACCAAAGGGCATAATGGATACTTTTTCAAAAAGCCTTCATGTGCATTTAATAATTTGTTAACCATCACCCTATTTACTGTGTATAGGAGGCGGCATTGTGGATTAGATACAGTTGAGGTGTAAAGACCATCGCTTATTGTATACACTATAAATAATGTTTATTTTGTCCTTTAGATTTTTTTTTAAACAGTATTTTCATTAGTATATATTCCAAGTGTTAGAACATTCAGTCTGGAGGTTAAAATGATGAAAACGCCTGTAAAATGAACATTCTTTATATATTTGTTTACATGTAATATATACGTGACTATAGAATGAAAGTTTATATATATATATAAGAATATTCATTCTAAAGTCACATATATACATTTATATATACGCATAACAGCTCATATATATATAGATATATAAAAGAATGTTCATTCTAAAGTCACACACACACACACACACACACACACACATATATGCATAACAGCTCATATATATATAGATATATAAAAGAATGTTCATTCTAAAGTCACACACACACACACACACACACACACACACACACACATGCATAACAGCTCATATATATATAAAAGAATATTCATTCTAAAGTCATATATATGTATATATGCATAACAGCTCATGTTAATATCCTATAGGGACTTCCATGTAATTGGATTTAATAAATGTATTTTGCCCTTGTATTCTTTTAATTGGATTCTATATGGTGTTTCAAAGGTTATCTTTTTTAGCAAAGTATTTAGAAGTCACTACACATTTCCTCACTGGAGACCCAACCTAATTCATCCACCTTATTTTCTACCGGCGTCTCATTTTGAATTGCCAGCCCCCACTGCCTGTTTCTCTCTCTCTAGGTTGGCAGCTTGTTACCCGTCTCTCTCTTACCTCGCTATCATTTTCTCTCATCTCTGCCCATAAGAAAAGGATCTTTCCTCTCTCCACCCCACCCCCTTCGCCAAACCACTTACCCTTTTTTTTTTTTTAAACACTGACATCCAGTCTATCAGGCTATACAGAAGACTGAGTCACGCACAGCGTAAACTTTTGACCCTCAACTTTTTGACCCCTTGCGCTATAATGCTGTATTAACAAGCCCCCCAAAGACCATAGTCACCTTCTACGTCTTCAGAAAGTAAAGCTGTACAGATTTCCCTATTTTTTAAAACCCTCTTAACATTTCTGGGTTCCTTCTTTGTCAAGGGGGGGACAAAATGTCCAGGCTTTGCAAACATTAGATGTGTTTCTCTACATCAAGTCATCAGGTTCATAGGCTGTCGGATTTCCCCCCCCCTTTACACTTTTCTTTTATCTCTGTGTGTTTAGAAGAACAAGAGAAAAAAAAGTCCCTTAAACCACAGCTGGATTCATCTCATTTTGAATTATTTCTGTTTTATTTGCCTAATGGGATGTCAAATAGGTGAGTTGTTGACTAGGTGAGTTGTTGACTGCACTAATTAGCCTGTTCTAATGTTTTTCCCCCCGCGCTGGAGGACTGGGTGATTAGAGGAGCTTTTGGTTATCTGTGGGGGACTGGAGGTCTGAGAGATAAGTTTGTGTGGGGAGGTCTTGGGGCGGGAATTGGGGGGGGGGGCGGAATCTGCTGTGGCACAAAAAGAACCGACAGAGACCAAAAACCAAGCTCTAGCTACTTTAACGAACAACTCAGAGACCCTGTCATGACTGTGAACTTGGTCTGAAGCGAGCTCTGCTGGTTGCTTGGGGACGTTACAGGCTCAAAGATTTCACCAAATTTTCTCCCCAAATCAGTTTCCCTCCGATTTATACTGTTTTAAATCTTCCAAAAAATTAAAGATTTTTTTTAATTAATTTGCCACTAAGCTAATTACATCTTCCCTTTAAAAAAAAATGCTGTAATTTGTTTTGACACGAAGGGCTAATCTATGTATGTATATCTATAGATGTTAAAAAGACATTCATCAAAAGAGAGGAAGAGAGAAAAGAAAACTCAGACAGTCTTACTCTTTCAACGCTTCCTGTCAAAACAGTTTCTTTTTAAAGCTAGTTAGGGTAAAGGAACATGGGGAAACTGCAAAGGGTAGACACCTCTAGAGCTAAGTTTTCCATGCCCCCTTTAAACTGCCATTTATTTACCACGATGGGAGAAAAGATGATAGAGGGTGACTCAGATATTCGATATAAATATTCAGAACGTTCAGTATTCTTAGAGAAAGTTTTAGTCTTAAATTAAATCCATGAGTTGACAGAGACCCCAGAGGAAGATACAAGCCGAAATAAATCACTTCAGCAATTCTTGGGTTTCCTAATTGCGGGACGATCTTTTATCACGTGAATTTTAAATAATTAGGTAACTTAGCTCCTTTCAGTTCTAACGAATAATAATAATAATAATAACAACAATAATAATTGTATTTTTTAAAATGGTGGGAAGACATGAGACATTTGTCTGAAACTGCAATTCGATTGTTGCATTTTCTGGAGAGTGCTTGTAGGAAAGGGAGTTGGCTTCTGTGAAGCAGTGATGTGAAACCCTCAGAGATAGGGTATTTTTGTGTAGGTGAGGATGACTCACAAGACTATTACAAACAAATAGCTAATTAGTTTAAAAAAATCAGTGAATTACAGCTACTCATCCCTCTCCCCTCCAGATTATCTTTGCCCAGATAAATAGAAACAATATTATTCCAACCCCCCTTTTTTTTTAATAAAGAAAGGGAGAATTTTGGGGGGGGGTGTATTGCAAAATGACCCGTTTGGCTTGCCAAAAAAAAAAAAAAGTATTTGTCCCGTTTGTTATTGTTGTTCTCGCTAGCTTGGAGCAATATGACCATCTCCAATGTGATGGCTTTTTTTCCCCCAAAACCTTTTTGGTATTCGAACAACCAATCCATTTGATTCGTGAGTTGTTGTCGGGCTTTTTTTCTTTCCAAAAAAAAAAGCAGTTTAGGTTGTTCTTAAAACTGTGACCTGCGGACCCCCGTGTACGTGTGAGATATAACGATTGTATTTTGATAGGGTGTCTTAGCGCTCCTCGATGGAAGCCGCTCTGACTAGTCTGCTGACCTCGAAATGATCCCGGGTTCCTATGAATTATTGATGAGATATGAGCTCTGATTTCTCTTTTCAGTATGCAAACCCCATTATACTGTTAAAATGGCGATTTAATCGTTTAGAATAGCTTTGCTTTTTTTCCCCCAACCCATTTGTGCCCCCTTCCTTTTCATTTCATTCTCTTAATTAAATCCTTTAACAGATTTTAATCACTTTTTGTTGAATAAAATAAGACCTCATACACATCGGTAACTAGGTTACCTTGGGTAAGTTTGGTTTGGTTTCTAAGTTTGTTTGTTTTTGAAACAAGGGTGAAATAAAATTATTTCATCTCTATTGCTTCCGTTTTACATCCAAATAAAAAACGCCTACAGGAAAACGCTAAAAAGCCATACAAAACGTTTAGTTTAGAATTTGCTTGGTTGTTATTATTATTTTTTTTAAAGCAATCAAGCCTTCTATGCCATGATAGTCTAGGTAGCCTGGAAAGGACACAGTGATACTGAATTGCCTTTTGTTTGAACGGTTTCTATTGCTATATCTATCTATACATCTAATGAGGGTTGTTTCTACCAGGGTCTTCCACGTATTGCTTTACCAAAGCCAGAAGGTTATTTTAATATTGAATTTTCACTTTACTGTCTATTTTTTCTTTGACATGTCTCTTTTATATAGCTGATTGATTTGCTGAGTGGATAGAGCAGATACTTTCTGAGATAAGGGTTGTCTGACTGCTGTCGATGTTGTTTATACAGAGGATGTAGAAGCATAGAATTCTGAACATTCACTATATGTTCAAAAAGTCACTTTTGAGAGGGTGTATATGAGGGGAATGGATATGTTAATTAATATAGATGTTCAACATTGCCATCTCAGAAGATGGACACTGGTATAGATATATTATCATGCGCTAGATCCTCCACTAATCTGCCATATATGAGGAATATTTTTATTTCAAGAGCAGGAAACACTTTTACTTTGTTTACCCAACTCCACTGAGATCCTTCATGAGTGGAAAGAAATTCTAAAGCTGTCCATAAAAAAAAATTATACCCATATGCCTATTTTTATTAGTCATAGCATTTCCAGTGGATTTGGTAAATTAATGGGCTTCTTATAGGCCCAACCGGATTCACTGAATCAGTGGGCTTTGGGTCTGATCCTGTATGTTGTTGGTCAAACAGACAAATATTTATTTCCTGATAAGCTTACTACCTTCCATATATATATTTTTTAAACCAGATTCTTTATATGTATATATTCCTCATATATAAATGCAGCTGTGGTAGGTCTGTAAAGATGAATAGAAAGAACCTCAAGGGAAGTTTAAAAATAAATAAATGGGCTGTTTTATTTTCAAATCAATTGTCATTTCCATGAGAAACAAACACACACACACACACACATACACATACACACCTAGTAGTAAAATATCTCATATCTTCTATCTTCTACAGCCGCTGAAGAACTAATTGTTCCACTGTCTGATGTATACCATTAAAGGGAGGGAAAGGATGAAAAATGCAATGGGAACCCTCGCCTATCTGAACGGTCAGAGTTCTGTTTTCCTGTTTCCTCTTCTTATACTTCCTCAGTTCACCAGCAAAGGGAGGTGTTTTTTTTTTTTTAAGGACGTAGGGGCGGGGTGGTGGGGAGTGGGGAGAGAAAGATTTGGAGCCTGTGAATCCTTCTTTGCTTTAAAGTGGTAGCCAGTTGTACACATTAGCCACACAGGAAGCTGGGGAGACTAGAACAACACAAATAAACCCAGCCTGTAAGAGACAGAGAAAGCAATATAGGTAGAAAGCAGGAGTTTTTAAAGTGCATAAGAAGGGGACAGGATTTTAATATGGCAGGAATATAATTTCTAAAACATGCTTAGGTGATGTAATAAGGCCCAGTTCCATACCTACTACAAACTTTTGTAAAAGGTTGAGATTCCTGAAATAAATGAGGTTACCTGGTACTGTAGCAAAGACTGACTGGGATAAAAATGGAAATCATACAAGCATTGTTTCCATTCTGCTTTAAACTGTGTTAAATAAACTCCTTAATATCAGTGTAGTGATGTAGAAGATTATACAGAAAGAATAAACCGACCTGGGGTTCAGTCTGCATTTCTAAGTGAAGATGGACTTTCTATGTATCCTATCTGTCTTTGATTGTTCTTTCCATCCCATTAACATGTTGCATATTCCATGTAATTAAAAATGGTGGTTGATATATTGTATGCTTTGGGTCATTAGACCTGATTTTAAAGGAAAGTTTGACTGGGATAATATACACATACTGAAACCCTAATGTGCAATCTTTTTGCCTTTTGAATCAGGATATGGGAATATGACATTAATCCAAATTTAGATAGATAAATAGATAGATAGAGTAAAAGTTTTGGATTAACGTAATATATATATATATATAAAACGTTAATCCAAAACTTTTACTCTATCTATCTATTTATATATATATATATATTCCCCTGCAGTTACACTGTCATTGTCAAATATATATTTCCTTGCAGTTACATTGTCATTCCGGTACTACGGTAGGTGAATGACAATACTCACCTAGCCTGGTGGTGGTAATTTGCATCAGTCAACATTATTTCTTAACATCAATACAAACCAGATGGCTAAAGAATGTTCAGGTCAGTAATTTGGTACCACCCCATCATACCTACACCCTATTTACCTTCAGTAAATATTTCTCTTGCTGTGTAGGCAAGATTTCTGTAATCTGTGGTGTGTTGGTTGCAAACTTCACACTTTAGACCCATTCCATTCACGTGTCTAGAAGCCAGCGAATGTCTTTATTATGAGCTGATAAAGAAGCATACGACTCGGTCAGATAATCAGATCAGGATGTTAAAATTAAAATGACTCAACTACCTATCACTCTCCCGCCCCCCATGACCCCAAGTCTCCCTGGCCAGAATTTTGATTTTGTATCAGAATATTAGTCACGAGTTCTAGGATAGTGAGTCAATTGGGTCAAATAGAATCTAGAAGTTGAAATTGTGCCAATAAAGATAACATCAGACACACGGACTAGGACAGGAAAAACAGCCCAAGGAAGGAAAAACTATCCCCAAACTGCGCAAGATGGTGGCGTTCTTTTGCTCTGTGTGAAAGAGACGGACATGTGTCCACCAAATGTTGCTCTGCCATTAAAAAAAATCCTGCTTAAAAGGGGAAATGGAACGTTTAGTGGCTGCTCCAACATTCTGGGACCCAAGGAAAAAAAAAATCTCTCCTCACAGTATATTTTCTTTTAAAGCTTTTTAAAGCTACAGGAACAGAATTACAAATGTGAGTGGGCAGACACAGATTCTTTTTCCCCAATGAAAATTTAAACACCTAGAGTTAAAAAAGAATGAAAAAGCAGCCCTCACTTCTCTGAGGATTTGTTTGTGCTGGTAAAAAAAAAAAATCAGTCTGATGGGGGGGAGGGGGCACGGGGGAAACCCGTTAGTTAAAAATCTTTTCAATGTAAGTTTAGCGAGGCTCGATGCGTTGGATAGAGTGTTTCATGTTAAGATTCCTGAACGCGACTTTGTGACAGGCGTTTTGGGCTGTAGCCTTGTAAACATAAAGGAAAATAGACACCTCACCAGGACTTTACCACTGCTAGCTGATGTCCCAGTCATGGTAAATACTCAGTGCATCTCTCTTTTTCGCCCTTCTCTGATAACTTGCTTATTTTCTCAAAGAAAAAGCTGTTTTAATTAGTTTTTTTTCCCCCAGAACTGTCCCTTCTTTATAGAAGCAAAAACAATACCTTAGGAATACATATACTCGACATATATAGGGTTTAAAGTTAATCGAATCCACCCCCATTATGCAAACAGCAGCATGTTTGATTTTTTGATTTTTATTATTTTTGTAGTCACTTAAAGGCAAACTGAAGAAAGACATAACGGCAGTAATCCAGTGTCCACATATTGTACAAACAAACCAGGGAACTGTTAGGATACTGTCTACAGAAAGAAAAAACGCCCAGAACGAATATTTTGGTCTATACCCAGGCCAAGGAAAAGGCTAAAAATGTTCCTTGCAACTCAGGATAAAAAAAGAATTAAAATTCTTAAAGGGTGTGAATGAAACCAAGAATATAAATATACAACAGGAACCTTGAAATGCCAAAGCCTGACCCATATTTGCTCGTGACTGTGATCAGTATAAAACTCACCAAAGCAACCTCCAATAACTGAGTCTCTATTGACATGGCTAAGAATAAAACAAAGTTTGTCTGAAGTACATATGCCCCTAGGCAAAGATTGGATGGCGTTTGCAATGCAATCGTAATTAATCTTTACGGAATTCTATTTCCCCTCATTCCACAAAGTTTACGTTGCTTGCATATGGGCCTCAGAGCTTTGCTGAGACCTAATGAAACATCAAATCTGGGGAGTGTAAGAATTTGGACCTTTTAAAAGTGAGAAATAAAGCTTTGGAAAGAGAGAGAGAGAAAGAGAGAGAGAGAGATACCCCCCTCCTTCACCCCGCTCAATCTTTAGCAATATAACCCTTAAAATAGTTTAATCAGATAATATTTCAGAAGGACTTACTTTCAGGAGCCCAAACTATTGGTCCTCTGGACTGAACACTGGACCAGCAAAGCATGATACCAGCAATTGCAAGGGTTTATCTCATCTGGAAAAGTGCTCACCCATTTCTGCCCCTTACAAGCCAAACCAAGCAGTTAAAGTGTCACTTAACATTCTAGAGAATGTGAAATATATTGTACATTGTCAACTCCCCAAAACCATAAAACTAACTTTATGGACCTCACGTGACTTTTGAGAGCCAGTGAGGGGTATCTGTCTGAGGTCTGGGCGATTTTTACGATCTAACTTCTAGATAAAACCCTATCCATTTGACATCTAAATGTCATACCTACTTTTGGTATAGTTTGCTATTGGTAAAATATATATAGAGAGAACTATATATCAGGGGAAGGCGAGCAAATGGTTTTGGAGCTGACAGTCCACCTCACATTCTTCTCAAAATCACTTAAGAAGTACCTAAACAGTGGGAGATTAAGTTTGGTAAGTTTATAAGATCCAACTTTACTTAATACGAACAAAAACCTGAACTATATTGTAAATATGTCAGTCGCATTTTGCCAGCAGAGAGACTTTAACTGAAGTATCTTGTGCCTTATAAGAAATCCTGGATAGCAAAATAGAAACATTTGCCACCTTTGATTATGTTAGTTATTTGCAGCGAAAATAGGCTTTGTAGCGAGTATGAGTAGTTACAGAACTGTTATTTACATGTTGAGCCAGAAAGTAGGATATAAAACCAGTATGCTCAGGAGATTGAGGGTGAGGGGTGGAGGGGTGTTTATAGATCAGCGAGCGCATGGATAGATAGATAGATCTCTTTATTTTTCAAAAAGTAATATAGGCCCGTTCCTCAAATGCACATACATATATTTCGCAAAGCATTTATATCTTGTTATTGTAACTTAAGCTACTTTAAAACAGCTTGTGTTATTTGATATTCGGACTTTTTTTTTTTCTATTGACGAAACAAAGTTTGGAAACTATGACAGGTCGCATTTCCTCTGTAGAATGCATTTGCTTTCCTCCTCAGCGATGAGATTCTATTATGTGAACTTTGCATTTTTTGGCTTCTGAGGGTTTCCAAAGTGCTATGCAGGAGAGCGAAGGGTGGGTAGCGTTTGGCAAATGCTCCTAACACAGCACAAGCTCTATGCCACCCATGTGTTTAGAACGTACTGCGAACTATCAGCGTTAAGACTCAAGCGATGTGTAGAAAATACGAATGGGAGCCTTTGTGAATAGGAGAAATGTTTATTTGACTTGAAGTAAAGCTACAAACAAATACAAAAAGCGTATTGGCAAAATACTAACAGGCAGCTAGACATGAACAGATGCCATTTTACACATAACACTGCATTCACTCTGCCCACTACCAACTGTCTATTAGTCACATCAGAAATATTTCTAGTATTTACAGACATTGGAACACTTTATGGTTGGTCCAATTTTATACATTTTTTTTTAATAGTGAAGTTTACCCACGTCTAAGAACACGTCTCAGAATTAGCCTGGGAACTAGAAAGCATGGCCTTACATTTGAACTAAACCACAGATTCGACAATTTGAAGACAAAAAGATACAAGAGCTTTTTTGCTTTTTATTTTTTTCTTTACAGTTTTTTGATTTTTTTTTCTGCTATTTTAGTGCAGGAATCCCAACTTTAGCTTAGGCAGAGAATAAATCTCCCCCCCCCCTCCCCATAGCTGTAAACTCAGATAAAAACAAACAAACCACCGTATCTGTTATCAATTTATAAATAAGTTATAACATTTAAAGGGCTCACATAAAACATGCTAGCTTTCCAGAAAGCATCAAGATAGCACTGGCACAAACATTTATTAGAACATCAAGAGCGTGGAGGAGCATCTGGGAAATTAAAAAATAATAATAATAATTAAAAAATAAAATTAAAACAAAAATAAAAACACAACAGGAGCGCAGTCCTGGGATAACAGTACCATAGGAGTTGTTTAAAATATCAACAACATGCCGAAAAAAGGTGCCTTACTGTACAGTACTCTGAAACTAAGATATGGTGCTGTTTCTCCCACCCCCCTTTCTTCTCTTCTTTCTTTCCTTGATATTCCTTTTCTATAATTTATGGCTGGAAGGCGCTGCCCGCAGAGGCTACACTCATGCTTTTCAGTTTATTATCTTTCTTCCACTTCATTCTTCTGTTTTGGAACCAGATTTTAATTTGCCTTTCGGAGAGGCACAGAGCATGGGCGATTTCTATTCTCCTCCTGCGGGTGAGATATCTATTGAAGTGAAATTCCTTTTCCAATTCTAGGGTCTGGTAGCGAGTATAGGCGGTTCTTGCCCTTTTACCGTCTGGTCCAGTCATGTCTGAATAATATGGACAACATTGGTGTTTGGTTTTGTTTTTATAAAAAAGGCAAATTATTAATCTTCCCAGGACAATCACGAACGTTCACTCGGTTATTTTAAAATAACACCCCCTCCCCCACGTGTAGATCCCCCTCCCTCCATCCCCCAGTTCCGGCATATACAATTCAATATTCACAATTTAACCTCGCAGCCTAAACCTCTCATAATTCCAGCTACGTGTGTGTGTTTGGATCTGTTAAATATTGTCATTTAAAAAACAAACAAACAAAACCACCACTGTTCCTGGTGCAATGGATCGACTCTTGGTTTTTTATTTTGTAATTAGCAGATTGTCAAGAACACACACACCAAAAATAATAATAAAGGATTGGGAGCCCCATCTGTGCATAGAGAGCCTGTTTTAATGATCAGTTCTTCCCTTTCCTTTTCCTCACCCCCCTTCCCTCCCCCATCCGCAAATAACCCCGCAGTTTTAAATGACCTTCTCTCTCTCTCTTTCTATACATATATATATATATATTAAATAACCTCAGATTTAGCGACAGGGGTTACAAATCTATCACCCCCCAAAACAAGCATCAAAGGCAGTTTTCTGTTTTAAATCAGCGAGCAGATAAATAAATACAATGCGATAAATAGCTGGATTACTTATCAGGCGCCTTCAAATAAAGCCAGGGGAAGGAAGGAAGAAAAAAAGAAGAAGGGAGGGAAAAAAGGGGGGGAGGAAAAAAAATAAAAAAGTATCTGTACCATGGCTAATGTGAAGCTTCCTCATCCAAGGGAATATCTGTGGTGTCTGCCCTTCTGTTGCAGCTGTGGATGTAGCGACGGGCTCTGCCTGTGCCCGGGGAATATTGCTGCTGTTTATTTGGGTGCCCTCTTCGGTTCCCGAAGACGCGCTGGTCTCGTCTATTTCTGTGAAATTTGTGTTGGTGCTGGCAGAAGTAGCCTGGTCGGAGGGGGACGGGGCGGGTTTGCCTCCATGGTTGTCGCTGTTGGAGCAGGGAAGGGACTCGGGAGAGGACAAGGAACAGCTAGACGCTTGTCTAAACCTGCTCTCCTGAGCGGGCGAAGGGAAGCTGCGGGAGCTTTCTCCCACAGCCCCAAAGTGGCTAGAGGAGGTTGAGCGGTTGATGCTAAGGTCCATCCCATTGTAGTTGTAGCCATAAGAGCTGGAATGCATGGTGCTTGAATCTCTGTACGAACCGTTCATAGAACTGCTGGTCCCATAATTTAGCAACTGATAGTCGGGGCCATTTGGATAGCGCCCTGAGAACGAGTTTACAAAGTAAGAGCTCATTTGGGTTATTTTGGAGGGCTTGATTTGTGGCTCGTGGTCGTTATAACCCTGTGCTTGACGATTTATGATGTATTAATGAATTATAGCAATGCACTGTACTTCGTTTTTGCTATGTATGCGGCCAAATATGGGGGGTGGGGGGGCGTTTGGTAATCACGTGCTTTTGTTGACCAGTCGTAAATTCTCACTGATGACCTCAAGAGGTAATTCATGCTCTATGGTTACAAATAATGACGATCTGAGAATCGTTAGGCCCAAGTCAATGCAAGGCTTAAAAAAAAAATCAGAAGACAGAGATTGCGCCATGTTGGCGGACTGCGCCACCTACTGGGGACAGGGTGACTTAGCAGGCATGGAGGGTGACTACCCACCCTTAATTTTTTTTAAAAGTCATTTAGTGGCAATTTGCACTCTTCATATATTTGTACTTTTTAAAAAATAATAATGCACAACTACCCCATTTTCATCCCGGGAAGCTCCATTCGGTTTTAATTTTATTCTGCAAATGGAGGGGGAAAATGCTTATCAGACCCAGCTCGAATGATTGTCAACATTCTGTTTTAGTTGTGTGGTCTTTGCATGGGGGTTGTTATCTTCATTAAATTATTGCCACTCTTTTATAATAATGACATTGGTGGTGAGGGGGAATAAGTCACCTTTGCATCTGGAGGTTCTGTGTTTGACTATCTTAGAAAAAACCGAGCCTGCTGAAAGAAAAACCTGTGTGCTTTATTTATTTAATTTATTTATTTTCATTGGCACAATGAAAGTTTGGCTTTCTTCACCTTCTCATCATATTATCAAATACACAGTAACACCTTGTAATTCTGGAGGGGGGAAAAAAGAGACGGGAAGGGAGATCAGCCGTTGAAACTGGTTGACAATGTTGCTTTTAAGATATTCTTGATCATGAATATCCCCCCCTCACACACACTCCCTTTAAATAGAGCATTGTTCTATTCCCCCCTAACCCATTGCAAACCTGCAAGAAATATTAGGTAGCCATGAAAACCTGAAATTTGACCAGGGTTTTGCTTTGTTCAAGGCTGCTATTTTTTTTCCAAGGCAGTTTAGGAATTTCAACTGCTTGTCTGCAACTCATTGGAAATTATGCGCCATATTGAAAGTGACATATAATTATAATAATTACGGGCAATGAAAAGAGTGGCAATAATAGTAAATGTTCTACAGCTGTGGAGCGTCTGCACGAATTGATTTTAAAAGTGACTGGCATTAAAACAGCTTGTGACATGAGGGAATGCATTCGTACATAGGTATTTTGGGGTGGGTGGTGGGGGGAAGGGAGTAGTTCTTTTGAAAGGCGTTTTTTTTCCTCTCGTGAAGCTTCAGACATTTTATTAGCATTGACCTGAGCAATTTTTTGTTTTAAATCTGCTGCTCCCAAGAAGAAAAGCACTTCTTTTCGTTCATTTTTTTAATTAAAAAAAAATCAAAGAAAAGTTGACTTCATGGCAACATACGCCCAGTTCCGAGTCAAATGGCACTGTAAAAAGAGCCATTTGAAAGGTGTGTGGGGGTGTGTGTACATAGACATGAAGCAATCTAACTGTGCTTAGCTTACTGTTTTTTGGTTTTGGTTTTTCCCCCCCGTGCTTAAATAATTCCCATCGTCCTGGAGTGAAAAAAAGTTTCGACTAAAAAAACAATAAAAACCCAGCAAGTCTGAAACCTAGCTACAATGCACATCTCCCTGATTTTGGAAAGTGAAATAAGGGACCAGATGTTTGAAAGATGCTAGACAAACGTTATGTATCTTTGGTAGATAGATGAGACCCTATTTTTGCCTCTTCCTTTGATATATTATGTATATGGAGAGCTTTTCCTCATAACTCTTTTGACTGTAACAATAAAAAAGAGCGATCTTCAAGCAGAATGTCAGCTCGGAGATATCGTTGGTGAAAGGTCCTGCATTTAAGATTAGGCAAAAGGGGGGGAAAGCGGATTTATCTCTCAACTGTAACTTCCGTATGCTGCGTGTTGCTTGTCCCGGCTGATTAGAAGACAGTGTCACACACAGACAGCAGCAGCGCCCGCTTTGCTAACAACCCCTCAGCTCCACATGAATGGCATATTTTCATAGACAGGAATAATAATAATGATAATAATACCAAAGGGGTGTGGATGAGTCCGAATACTTTACTTTTATTAGAGTATTCCATGGCCATACCTAAGACAAACTACAAACACAACACGTACAAAAATTAATAAAATATAATTTTTTTTGTTGTTGCTTTTGCATCCTTTTAGGTAGTACTTGTTCCTTCAGTAGGTTTTCTCTTTAAAAAAAAAGAAACTAATTACAAAGACCCCAGGGTTTGATTAATTTACCAAAAGATAAACAACCGGGGAGGGGGGAATCTATAAGTCAATCGTGCATGAAACATTTTACAAAATTAAGACAATAAACACCAAAAATGACATATATTGCAGCACCTCCATTAAATACAAGAGTTAGCGGGTTACTAGCAGTGACACGAAGGGCAGAAACACAGGTAAGAGTTCCAAATTATTATTATTATTATTATTTTATTTTATATTATATTTGGAGGAATAGAAAGGAAAAAAAACTCAACTAGAAGCCTGATTTTTGTTTTGACACGACAGATTAACTGAACACGAGTCCAACGGTGCAAATTTATGTTGGTGGCTCGCCACCTTCAAACCGTCTCGGGTATTTTACAAAGCGTGCACCACTTGGGGTGCATTTTCTCTTCCACTCCAACCCTTTCCCCCCACCCTCTACCTCCTCCAACTGTTGGGATATTTCTCTCTTTCTCTTAAATAATTCTTTCACTCCGCTGCTTTCTCCTCCTCCTCCTCCGCGCTCAGCTGCGTGGAGTTGAGCAGTTTGTTTTCCTTTTTCCATTTCATCCTCCGGTTCTGGAACCAGATTTTGATCTGGCGTTCTGTCAGGCAAAGTGCGTGTGCGATTTCGATCCGGCGACGCCTGGTCAAGTAGCGGTTAAAGTGGAACTCCTTCTCCAGTTCCAGGGTTTGGTAGCGGGTGTAGGTTTGCCGGCCTCTCCTGCCACTTGGCCCGAAAGATGAACCTGTTAGGCAAGGAAAGGAGGGGGAGAAAATACCCAAAGGTTTATTCTAGTTAAGAGTAATAATACCAGGGAGCCGGCCAGTTAGCATTCTGATAAAGGGTGTGTGTTTAGGGGTGGTGGCGTCTTTTGCTTCCTTTGCCTTCCCCGCTAAATACTTTTACCAACCAAAAATCATCTAGCCAAAGTGCCCAGGGCTCCTTTTTCCCCCCCCAAAGCCAGCCCTCTAGCAAACCTCCTGACTTGCTAGGTCGCCTTGGAAAGAGTTGCTAATTTGTCTTGGGTTTCTGTAATGCCTGCTGCTTAACTCAAAGGCAATAAAGTTCCACTGGTACCTGGGCAGAAGGGTTAATGCAGAACTCGCCAGATATTCCAGGACCGTGCTTTGAAGAGATTGCTAGACCTGTCTTATTCCATTATGTAAAATCTCATGGTGCCCCCCCCCCACACCTTTCAATTGTTCCTCCCCACCGGCAGCAGTAATAGATCTGGGCATTTAAGCAATAATGAAGTGTATCGATCTAGACAAACTCTGTGCATTAAAGGGGATACAACGCTTCATGTCCCTGCACTAATGGACATCAATTTGGAACTTAAAAGGCAACAAATAATGAATGTAAACATGGAAGCACTGTGACTTTTTCTTCTTCTTTGTGGATTGAAGAGATAGCACTTAAACCAGCTATACATCACAGAGAAAAAAAATTCTCCCCAGGCAGACTTTTCATTATGTGTTGAGTTTCATTAAAAATGTAGTTCTCTCCTTTCAAATATTTAAACACTTTTACATTATTTAACTCCAGAAAGGGTGTGTGTGTGTGTGTGTGTGTGTGTGTGTGTGTGTGTGTGTGTGTGTAAGTCACTCCTTCTTTTCTTTTTTGTAGAATAGATATCTCT